GAACTGGAAGTGGGGTCGTGGGAACCAGGGGACGAGGCGTGGTCTGGAGCAGGGGGAGTGGTATGGTGGGGACTCCCCTCCCCGGGGGAGGAGCTGAGGGGTGGGGTGTTGAATAATTCAAGGGAGGGGGAGTTGACGGTGGGTGTAGGAGGGAGGTGGGCGGAGAAATCCGGGGAGCAGAAGGGGTTGGTCTGCCGGAAGGGATTATGGGAGGGGGGAGGACAGGGATCATGGGAAGAAGGAGCACGAGTGGCGGGAAAACCCACGCGGTCACCTCCATCTTGTGTCCTGGGAAAGGGGGGAGAAGGGGAGCCATTTTGTGGGGTTTGGGGATGGAGGATGGGGGATGAGGGATCTTCGGGGGTCTGGGATAACTGAAAACGAACGGAGTCTCTACGGGACGGGGCTGTACAGCGCGGGGAAGAAGGGGAACGGGTAGAAGCAGAGACAGTGCCTGCACCGCTTTGCAGGGTGTCTAGGGTATTCTCAGAGGGGCCAGAATCTGCCTGCGGGCAATGTCAGGATGCCTGTCTGATAATACCCGACTTCGGGAGAGAGGGAGGGTTTTGCCGCAGTTTTCCCGCAGCGCCCGCCGCAGCGGCAGGCTCGGGAGCAGCGACAGCAGCCGCCCCGCGCCCCGCCGCAGCGGCGAGCGCCGCATCGTACTGCAGCGACTGGGCTGAGGGACAGGGAAGCGGAGTAGGGTTATATGAACTACCCGCCGAACTGGGGATCGGTTTGTTTGCGGCTGGCTGTGGCAGACTTTCGTAGCGATATTTAATTATATCGCGAATTTGGAGAGCCAAATGGTTGAATATGGAGAGAGAGAGATCCGACTGTCGCAGGATCTCCTCCGCTACCTGTTCCCAAAAAGGGGCTTGGTATAATTTAGCTGGCGAAATGTCAGGGAAAGTTTGCGACAACCACTGAACGAACCGTTTTACTTCAGATTTTTTAACCTTAATTCCCCCCACTAAAAGGATACCCACAACTTGGGAATAAATGCTCTTCTGCGGCACGGACAGCCTTGCACCCATGGCTGTTAGATGTTAAATCGTGCCGCAGCGCCTACGATTGGGAAGACACGAACGAAAAACAAAAGACCACACTTCCGGCTTTGTCGCGGTCCTTAAGCTTCCCGCCCGGGAAGGGAAGCACCAAAACCAGGAACTTTTTCCCCGAACCCCGGGGAAAAAGAAACCCACCAAAAAGGGATCCTTCCCCTAAACCCTAGGGGAAAGGAACCAACCAAAAAAAGGACCGGGAAAGCCCCAGGGGCCCCTACACTCACAAACCAAAGGGGTCCGAGAGGGAAGGGTGGAAAAGGAAAACCAATTGTAGGATTCCGCCGCGAGAGGATTGACTCCGGAGGTGCGTTCCAGAGCTGCTGATCCTGTCCCCGAGAGCGCCACCCACTAGAACGTGGGTCTGCTCCCGCCGGGGTAGCTGACGGCCAGGAGGACGGTTTTTCGGGTCCGCACGACCCTAAAATCCTCAAACGAGGGGTCCAACGCCGCAAAAACGGGGCCCCACGTTGGGCGCCAGCTGCCGCGCTCCCGCCCCGGTTCCCTTTGTTTCAGCCCCGGCTAGCTCT